TAAGACCTAGGATTACATACCTGTCTATTTATAACCCTATAAAACTCCGGAGTACAATATGTAATTACCAAATTACCCCTGTACCTCACCCTCCAACCCACACAAGGAAACTCTCCTGATTTGGACAGATTCTTCCGCTCCACTCCACTTCGTTCTAGCATCTGTCCCTTATATGTTATATGAGTCATACCATAACAAATCTCCACCTTGGCGAATATCCAGCCCCTTAGGAGAAATACATCATGGAGTTTTTTACAGACTGAAGTGGGTTGGGCCACCATGCTTCTCTAGCAACTGCAAACATTCAACAAGTCCAAATAATGCAAGAACTTGTTGATAGTAACTGGCTTGGTCAACATATCAGTTGCATTTTCATCAGATGAACCTTCTGCAACAGTATCTCACCAGAAGTAATCAATTCTCTGATCTTGTGATACCCGACATCAATATGTTTGGTTCTCGCATGGTACACCTGGTTCTTAGCCAGATAAATAACACTATGACTATCACAATGCAACTGAACTCCACCTTGCTCAACGCCCCAGTTCCTTTACTAGCCCAGCTAGTCATAAGACTTCTTTTGCAGCTTCAGCTACTGCCATGTACTCAGCTTCAGCTGTAGATAATGCTGTAGATAATGGCTGTAGATAATGCCACAATAGACTGAATTGTTGATTTCCAACATATAAGCCCTCCACCAAAAGTAAACACATACCCAGTTGCGGACCTTCTTCCATCCAAATCACCTGCATAGTCTGAATCACATACCCCACAACTGAAGAATCATCATGGTGACAACAAAAAATAATTTCGTATCCTACAATACCCTTCAGATACCTGAAAATCCACTTGACTGCTTCCCAAGGTCGCCTTTCAGGTTTAGACATGTATTTGCAGACTTGACTAACAACATTTACCAAATCAGGACGAGTACATACAATTGCATACATCAAGCAGCCAACTACACCGACATATGAAACCTTTGCCATGTCTTCGATTTTTGTATCTGTCTTAGAACATTGTTCTGAAGAAAGTTTAACATGATTAGCCAATGGAGTGCTCACAGGCTTTGCTTTGCTCATCTCAAACATTTCCAACACTTTCTCAACATAGCCTCGTTGAGATAAACATAATCATCTTGAGCATCTATCTCATCTATCGAGCATCTATCTCGATGAATCTCCATTCCAAGATTATTCTTCTTAGGACCCAAGTCTTTCATGTCAAATTTCTGGCTCAATAAAACTTTCAAACAACAGACTTCATTCATATTCTTTGCAAAAATCAATATATCATCAACATACAATAAAAAATAATAATAGAATGATCATCAAGGCTCTTCACAGAAACACAACAATCATACTCACATCGCTTGTAGCCA